TATCGCAATGCACATTCTTTAAAGGGACTGATGACAGCAATGACCCCTATGAAATAAACCAAGATAATGATATTTCTACTGTGGAGTGAGAGTCAGGAGAGGCAGGTCTCAGAATAAAATACATGAGAACGATAACCTGGGCAGATTGAAGGTGGTGGCAGACTGAGTGGAGGCTACCCTGCCGCTCTCCGGGGACCAAACTGGAATGACAACTGAACTTTAGAAAACCATCCTGAAAAACCAACTGCAACTGAAGATGAGCTGGAAGGCAACCTCATCACCAAGGAGGAAAAGGAGAGATCGCATAGAGACGGGTAGGAAGTGCAGAGGCACAAGAGGGCTGGCTGGGCTCCCACAGGCAGCAGCTGAAGGTCTGGAGGGAGATCTTAGCTGTGGGGGTTCCCACTGAGGTCTCTGGGGCCTCAACCCCTCGTGGGGCTCCCCAGCCCAGAGAACCAGCACTGAGACAGGTGTCCACATAATATCTGGCCCTGAAAAGGAGCCAGGTTTCTATCTGCCAGGGGGAGACACCTGAAAATGCAGGCACCCCCTTAAAGAGCCAACGCACAAAGTTTCGTGTGCAGCCACTCACCTTGGGCTTCAGCAGAGGCAGGGCAGAGTGGACCGTAGCTGTGTGAGGAGAATCTAGGCCAAAGGCACCCCTCTGGATTCCTGTGCCGAGCCATTCCCCAGACTGCAGAGGCATGCACTTACCTTCCAAGCAGCTTTTGCCTGAGGAGGAAACAATTGCCTCATCCTGCAAGAAAACCTCTCGCCCTACCCCCCTGGAGTTTCTACAGCCTGAGGCTCATTAAGAAAATCAGGTTTATCAGCCTGCAGGCAGAGGCAGACCTCAGAGTGCTTTGAGTCTCTGCCTGATCTGCTTCTCAANTGGGCCTTGCAAAAGCAGACTTTGGTGTGCATCTTGGTCCTGTCCAAACACACCCAGGCCCAAGAGAGGGGACCTCAAGCTGTGGGTTGTTGATAGCTCCAAACAGGGTGCTCAAGGTCGCTCACAAATAGCGTCTGGCACTGGCCTGCACTACAGACCCTCCAAAAGGACAGCTTGTACTAGTAGGCCAACCTAATGAACAGAAACAAACCCAAATAGGCAGCTATTATGGCAAGTTTCAGCTACCAACACACCCCAACACAGAACCCTAACACAAAACCTAACCCAAAATTTCACCCTAACACTAACCCTAACCTAACCCAAAATTTCACCCTAACACTAACCCTAACCCTGGTGTAAACAGTAGTCCTAAACCTAATCTTATGCCTAGATCTAACCCTAACACTAACCCTAAGCAAAACCATAACCCTATCCCTAACCCTAATCCTACCCCTAATCCTAACCCTAAACATAAGCCTATCCCTAACCCTAACCCTAACCATACCCCTAACCATAACACTAATGATAGCCATAACCCTAACCCTAAAACTAACCCTAACTCTAAACCCTAAATCATAACCCTAACCATAAACCCTAACCTTAACCCTAACCCTAACAGTAGCCTTAACCCTAACCATAAACCTCAAACTAACACTAACCCTAACCTAAACCAAACCCTAGCCCTAAACCAAACCCTAGCCCTAACCCTAACCTTAGCAGAAGCACTAACCCTAACACTACTGCAGCCCTAACAGTAAAATTAGCCCTAGCCCTAACCCTACCACTCACCCTAACAATAACCCTGACACTAGCAATAAACCTAACCCTAGCCCTAACACTACCCCAAACTTAGCCTAACCCTAAACCTAGCCCTAACCCATTCCAAAGCACGGATGAATGAATTTGTTAGTCTTTTGCCAACATTTCCCAATCCTTAAGGAATTAAGAGTGACTGTCCTTATTTTACAAATAACGTCTTTATAGGGCCACAGGTGTGGCTCCAAAATATCCAAGCCCACCAAATCTTTTTATCTCCCCAGTTCCTGAGAAAGCTCATAGATAACTGACTTTATGAAACCCCATCCTTGGACCTTTGAAATGCAAATACCTGGTCAAAAACTCTTATCTAGATCATCTTTTAAAATATTAAAATAAAATGCAAGTTTCTGGGAAGTAAAAAAAGAAAACCTTAGCCATCTACGTAAATCAATTTAACTTATTTCAACTATTCCTTTTTATATTTGGAGCTGTTGCTGTAATGTCTTATAATTTGTGGAAGGTGTGCTTCTTGAAACTGAGAGTATGTTTCACACATGTTCATAAAAGTCAATCTAAAGAATAATAATTGCTTACTTTAGAGGGGTCACTAAAAGTCAAAGGTTTTAAAGAGTTAAGAATTTTAATTAATTTGAAAGAAATTGTATGCTTTGGATAATAGGTTTAAGGTATAGAAACATATTTTGAAGGGAAAAATAAAGTGAGTTCTAAAGCTGGTTATTTCTGAATGGGTAAAAAGGTTGAACTTAATAACAATCTCTAAGAATATAAAAAATTACAAGAAAAAATAGACAAATTTATAATCATAATAGATTTAATCGTAACAGCTCATTCAGGGGCAGAGCCTACCTCTTTCAGAACCAATAGACTCCCACTAACAACTCAATAAGGATGTAAGAAACTTCAACAACATGACCTGCGAATGGAGTTCAACATTCACAGATAATCCACTCCACCCGACAGGTTTTCCTGTAGACCTGCGCCAGAGTGTTATTCCCCAGGTGTCCCCAAGACAGCAGCAGTCAACATTCAGGTGATGCACTTCTACCCTGCAGGTTTTCCTGCGGACTTGGGCCAGGGTGTTATTCCCAAGGTGTCCACAAGACGGCAGCATTCAACATTCAGGTGATGCGCTCTACCCTGCAGGTTTTCCTGCGGACTTAGGCCAGGGTGTTATTCCCAAGGTGTCCACAAGACGGCAGCATTCGACATTCAGGTGATGCACTCTACCGTGCAGGTTTACCTGAGCACCTGAGCCAGGGTGTTATTCCCAAGGTACCCAGGAGACGGCAGCAGAGAAACACGCTTGGAATCTTCTCTAAAGTGACCGTGGCCAGGGCGCAGAGGGAGCATAACATAACAAAGGCGCCCCAAGAATCATGATCCCGGGAACTGAATCTGAACCAGGGGCCTGCCCGGTGCAGACGAGCCTGGTGTTGGCCAATGGGCTCCCCAACTCTGTCCCCAGTTCACGGACAGAGGCCGAGGCCCATGAAGGCAGCCAGTCTGCAGGTAGCTCCGTCAGGAACCTTGGTGCCCAGCCTCTGGGCAGCAAAAATGTGGTATCAGGACAGGCGCCAAGCAACATCACGTGGGCTAAGACGTCAGGTTGGCATGATGTTGGGGCAGAGATGTGGATCATCCTCTGTTAACCGTGATTGTGAAATGGGGAGGGCACCTAATAGGAACAGGACCCTTGTTGTTTAATAATGATTCACCTTACTGACTATAGGGGGTTTTCCTACAGACCCCGGGAAACTGCTGGATGTGCTACTGAGCAGCCCACATTGAGCCCACTGAATAAACCTCATTTCAGCCTCAGGACATGTCCCAGTGGCTGCCAGGGCAAGAGGGTTTAAAGGTCACTTCCACCGTGAGGAGATGTTAACAAGGCTGCGATGACGGGTTGGCATGCCACTGGCAACCCAACAGGGTAGCGCAGTTGGTTAGAGGGGCCTCCCGACTAGGACAAGGTTGTGGATTCAATTCCCGGCCAGGGCACATGCCAGGGTTTCATGCTCGATCCCCAGTAGCGGATGTGCAGGAGGCAGCCAATCAATGACTCCCATCATTGATGTTTCTATCTCTCGCCCTCTCCTTTCCTCTAAAATCAATAAAAATACATTTTTTAAAAATTAAATTTAGCCCGGCCGGGCATGGCTCAGCGGTTGAGCATTGACCTAGGATCCAGGCGATCGTGGTTCGATCCCGGGTCAGGGCACATGCCCAGGTTGCGGGCTCGGTCCCCAGTGGGGGGCGTGCAGGAGGCAGCCGATCAATGACTCTCTCATCATGGATGTTTCTATCTCTCTTTCCCTCTCCGTTCCTCTCTCTGACATCAATAAAGATGTATTTTTTTTAAAATATTAAATTTAAAAATTAAATGAAATAAACGTCATTTCTGACATGACTTGGCTGCTTCAAGGTCGAATGGGTTAAATGTCATTTCCCGCCGTGAAGGTCAAAATGGCCCTGGTCGAGCTCAAACAGATGTCACCCCAGGGAGCTCCCAGTGTCTTGTCACTCAACCACTGGCTTCCACATATCCCAGTTCTCAGCCACCCCTCCTTCACACCATCCTATTGGCAACTGCCCACTGTCCCCATTTCCCCCACTACACCATGAGCACCAAGGGCACAAATGTGACTTTGCCTCCCGCTGGATCGCACAAGCTGTTCAGTACGCACTTGACGACTCACAAGGAAGGAGGTGAGTATCTTGGGCCTATTCCTGAAGGTGACAATCCTCTGTCAGTCACCTGTACAAAAGGGGGTCACACGCACCAGGAGATTCACCACACTTGGCCCTGGCGCCCTGTGGCCGCTTCTACCACTGGGGTGGTTCCTTGTTCCTGCAATGTAATAGTCAGGTAAAGGGCAGAGGGTAGAGATGTCCACCCACCATGATACTGCTTATAAAAGGGAGACTTGAGAAACAACGCAAATGTCCGTGAACAGGCTGTGCCGCTGTGCCACTGGGGACTGACAGCCAGGGAGTGACAGGGACAGTGTCCAGGATATAGTTAAGTGAACAAAAACAAGGCATTCAGAACAGTAAACTTTAGTTGAATAGAACATTTGTTTTGCAAACATAATGAATTACAACCTTAGAGTGAAAAGCACCCACCCCACCCTGCTGGGCCATTCTGCAGCCTCTCACTAGAAGCCCCACAGACATGGAAGCGTCAGGACACTCCCACACCTCACTCATCAAGTTAGCTGGGTGGAAGTCTGGCCCATCACAGGACAGGTGGGAGGGTGGCCAGCAGGGAGAGTCTCGTGCCCCTAGAAACTTCCCTGCCCACAACCTGCTCAGGAGCTGGATCCTACTACATGCTGCTCCCTGAGTGGGACACACCCCACCTTTGACTTCTGACCTCATGAACATTTCTCAACTGCTTCCTCCAACATCAGGAGCTGCCAACCAAACTATCCAAACATGGCATGGGCCTAGGAGCCCACAGTTCCTCTCAGCAGAATCCCCCAGGGAACTCAGGAAATCTCCTGTTTTCATCAGGATAAAACTCTGTAACTTGTGTTGAATGGACGAATGGCCACACCTGCTTCCCCAGGACACTGGCCTGGCTCTGAGAGGTGGCTCAGCCCAGGCTTCCCCCTGAAAGCTCAAGGAGCATCCTGGCCCCCCAGAAGGCATCGCTGGAGGCCTGGCTGTCGGGCCACTGCATCTGGAAAACCAATACAGCATTACACAGGCGGGTGCCCTCTGCCTGAATCCCCCTCCCCCCTGGACAACCCTGCCCCCCCAGCTCCCATTCTACTGACATCCAGCCTCAAGGCCTGTCTTCATCTTTGTCCAGCTGATTCACTCCAAAGACATGAGCTAATCCAGGAGTTAGGTGGGAAACCCACAGTACCTCCTAGGAAAGCCTCACCTGGCTGGATGGCAGGGACTCGCTCAGTTCCACAGCAGGCACAGGGCTGGAAAAGGTAGATGAGGCAGGTGCCAGCTCTGGGAGGCTGGAAAACAAACCATGTCAGGACAGACCTGTCTCAAGTGGGCACCAGGTCACACCATCTGCCCCATGAGAAATGGGCCCTGAAGGTCTCTGCTCATCAGGAGCCCTTCCAGGCGCAAAACACTCAGAAACAGTCTCCTCCCTCGAGGCCCTCAGGGATGCAAGGCACGATCGGGGGCCTGTGAGACATGACAAGCAGGTGGCTTGGGTGGGCTGGTGCATCAGAGAAGCTCACAGAGGAGAAATGTGAAGAGAAGTTCCCATAGAAGGGACAGGCCTGGGGTGCAGAGACAAGAGAACCTTAGAGGCAAACCAGAGGGAGCAACAGGGACAGCGGGGCCAGTGACAGGTGCATCTACCAGTGACAAGTGTCCGGCAGATCCTTAAAAAGGCAATCACACACATCCCATGACCAGCCATTCCACTCCTAGGTGTGTGCAGATCGCAAACACGAAATGTGCAGGATACGAACAACATCTGTCAGGCCATGGTCACTGCTGCCCCAAACTGGGACTCCCTAATGCCCCCACAGGGTGATGAGCCAGTACACCACAACCCACCACACCACGGATGGGACTTGGCAATACTGAGATAAGACTGCGGACACAGGCAGAAGCAGGGCAGAGCCAGCAGCCAAGCCGAGCAGAATAAGCCAGACCAAATATAAATGCATATGGTACGATTTCATTTAAACGAAATTCTAGAAAATGCAGCTCAATAAAGCAGGTCTCTGGTCCTGGGGGTGGCGGGGTGGATCTGCACGGCTCACAGCCTCAGCACATCATGCCCCGTGGTGGACACTACTATTGCATCACCTGCACATGTTCATTTACTGATGGCCAATTACCCCCCAATGAAGCTGTTTTTAAAAAAACTATCAAGGCTGTCAGATCAGAACACAGATGGGCTGTGGCTGGAATCCAACAGTGAGACCAGTGAGCCCCTGTGGTGGCACCTGCCCCTCACGACTCCTGGTCACAATAGAAGGGCCAGTCCATCTGGATGGTCGGGATTTTCCCACCATCTGGCTGCTTTATCAGGAGCAGAGCTTGTGACTTGGGGGCAGTCTGCTCTCTTGCATGTCCCTTGTAACTCTGCCCTCACTAGGCATGGCCTTCAGTGCCAGATTAGGGAGAACCAAACCCTGGGGACCTGATCCTGGGGGTCACTCTCAGAGATTCCCTCTCTGGTAGAGTATCCCCGGTCTCACTCCTCGGTTCCTCCTGTCTACAGGCTCCTGGACTATTGCCCTGGACCCACACACAGCCAGTCCACAGCACCCAGGATACCCACGGCCCTCCCAAGCCCCTTTAAGACTACAATCTGCATATGAATCCGGGATCTTTATGCTGCTCAGAAACTCTGACAGCCTTCATCTAGGCAAAGAAAATGCCAGAAAGACACGGCAAGAAAATCCCAGGGCAATCTCAGGGAAGAAGCCTGAGCACCATCCAGATGTCCTGTTCACCCTCACGTTTCTGGATGTTCATATGTCTGAGGGAAAAACCACCCTCTTCTTTTTGGGAGATGCTGGCTGGGGAAAGCTGTGGCTTCCAGAAACAGGTAAGCAAAGGGCTTTATGGGCACCGTCTTGGTGGGCGTCTCTAAACCAGGTAAGACTCCCCCCATAGCCTGTGGATAGTGTTGCCTGAGCCACAAGGCGTTGCTGCCTTACCTCTGATGGAAGGCAAATTCTGGAGCCTGCAGTGGGGGCTGTGTCACCAGGAAGCTGCCCACCTGTCTGCCTGCCTGGCTAACACCAGTGCCCGGACTCTCCTCCTGGTATGAGCTCTGGGGGCTGCTGCTGGGTGGGTCCGCGAATCCTGCACAGAAGGAATGTCCACAGCCCAATGTGGGGGGGATGGGGCCTGGCTCACATTCAGCACAACCAAGGCAAAGCTAGGAATTCTCTTAAAATATATCACTGTTGAAATAAAATATTGAAACAGTTTAAGAAACACCCTCGAAAGCATGTCCAATAACGAAGAAAAAAAGACCTAAAAAACAAGGTAACCATTTTGGAAGACTGGTCCAGGACTTCCAACATCCACATCACATCTGTGCTCGAGAGAGAGACCTGAGAGCACGGAGGGAAGAGATCATCAAAGAGACTATCGAGTAAGATGACCAAACAATGCCCAGGGCTCAAAGGAGACCTTGATGGCTTACTTTAACTTAAGGGCTTAACACAAAGGTGAATTAAAGGACTCTTACCTAGGACTTAAAACTCAAAACAAAACCCTCCTTTTCAGCTTTAGCCATTCACAGTGGATGGGATATAAAACAAAAAGAGCAACCAGTGAACTAACAAAAACAATCCAACTCATAGATCCAGATCCCAGAATGGTGGTTACGAGGAGAAGGGGACAGGGGAGGGAGAATTGGGTAAAGGGCTCAAATATATGACAACAGCCCAGGTGGGGTGACTCAGTGGTTGAGCATCAACCTATGAACCAGGAGGTCGAAGTTCGATGCCTGGTCAGGGCACATGCCTGGGTTTCGGCTGGATCCCCAGTAGGGGGAGTGCAGGAGGCAGCCCATCAGTGACTTTCTCCCATCATTGATGCTTCTCTCTCCCCCTCCCTCCCTCTCCCTCCCTCTCTTGTGAAATCAATAAAAACACAGTAAAATATATATATACCGTGAAAGAAGGTTAAGCACACAACTGAGTATACAGATACCAAATTATGATGAACAGTACCTGCCAATTATGTGATGTTACCTCAATAACTTTAATTTTTTAAAAAGCTCCAATAAAGGAATCGCAGGTGACCTGCAGAGAGGGAAACGTCCGAGTGACATGTGAATTATCAACGACCCTGGCTGCAACTGTGATACGAGGCCTTCAGGTTTCTAGTGGGAAAAGTATTTTAAACTCTGAATTCTGTCCCTGTCAAATCATTAGTCAAATGTGAGGGCAGATGAAAGACAACCTGAGAACCATTTATGAGGAAATTTATTTTCCACTCACCCTTTACTGTCAAGTTAACTGAAGACAGTCCCATGGACTCACACAATAGTGTGGTGAAGGCCGGGGGAGGGGGCCTGGATGCGGGGTGGAGGGGATCAATGGGGGGAAAAAGAGGAGATATCCGTAATACTTTCAACAATAGAGATAAATTTTAAAATAAAAATTAAAAAAAGAAATATAACCTGTGATGTTTGTGGGAAGAGTCTGTTTCAGGTACATTGGTTCTGGGTCTAATCAAACACAGGATTCAAGCAGAAAGTCCTGGCCCTGCCCACACCTCTCTACCCTCCAAGAGACCCAGTAGTTCAGCCTCTCGTGCAGAAACTCATGGTCCATGTAGAGTGGGCTCACCTGTGGGGCTAGGCTCGGTGAGGGTGGCAATGGACACAACCATAGAAGTGTCTGCAGGGGGAATCGTGAAGTCCAGCCCATGACTGTGGACCAGCTGTCCAGTCTGAAAGGAAACGTCCCTGGAGGACGCCAGTGCAAGGGACATCAGCCATGGCTTGGGGGCATCTGAAGAGGGATCCAGCATGTTGCTGTAGGCAGCCGGTGCGCCAAGGCCAGGGTCAGGGTAGACGGCGGGGAGTGTGGCAGAATCGTGGCCAGGCCCCTCCAGATATATCTCACTACCCTGCAGAGACCTGGGAAACACAGAGGACAGTGTCTCTTGGTGGACAGAGGCTCACTGGGCCCAGACAGTCACTGACAGTGTGGGGCCCACCACTCCCTAATTCTGCTGCCTTCACTGTCCTCCCTGTGGCTGCAAACATTCTACAGACACTTTAAAAAATATGATTACTGAAAACCTAAGATACAGTAGCAGTTCATTTACAAGGGCCTTCAATGAAGCATTCTTCCACAATGCTGAAAGCTAGAAATGATTAGGAAGAACCTAATAGTTGACTTGACTAAATGATGGTTGATCTTAAAGGAATACTAGGCAGCCGTGAGTAATGACGTAAAGAATTAACATTCCACAAATGCTCAGTGTTTCAGGTGGTGCTCCTAGGCCTCTGTGAACAACCCCCACCCCATTAATCATTGCAGCAACCCCCTTGGCAGGTCCTATAACTCCCCACTTCCCAGGTGAGAAAAGCGAGGCAGGGAGGTCACAGGATCCTGCCTAAAGGGACACACAGCTGGGCAGTATTGGTCTGAATGTCAGGTGCCTGGCCCAGGTATTATCACTGGTAGGAACTCAAGCAGCCTTGGCTGTTACCAACTCAATGAAACACAAACAATACCAGAAATAAACAAACCACAACAGCTGGGTTTGCATTTAGGCCACAGGTTCACGAATTTTTCTTTCTATGTCTGTTTTCCCCCTGCTCTGTGATGCACATGAAGTCAGGCTGTGAGTGAGTCTCCTGTGACCTGGGCTCCTTGCAGTGGCTCTCCCACCCCTGGGGTTACAGCAGTCTCTGCTCCCAGCCATCACTGACCTGGTCCCAGTATTGCCCAGCATCCCCACGCCCACTCCAGCCCTGGTCTCCTACTGAGGGGTTGTGGGGAGCTGAACAAAAAGAAGGTCCCCCGCCTGTGGGGACTACAGTACCTGGGAATGAGTGATTTGGGCATTGTCTCGTCTCCAGAAAAGTCCGAGGCCAGGGCCAGAGGCTGCCACAGCCCTTGGGTGGTCACTAGGGACGGTGCAGGCCCATTTTCCTCACCTCCTGTTGAAAGCCGATCAGATGGGAGGGGAGGCTGGATGAAACTTAAGTTCCAGCCTCCATCCCAGCAGCTTAACAGGAGCCCCGCTGCTGGAAAAGGGTGCAACCACTGAGCCATCCCAATATTTTCTGTCCCTTGACCCATCTTTGGTCTGTAACAATCCGTAATTAGACACCCTACATCCTGGTGCTTGGCTCACTTCCCAAATCTACTGACTTCTGCTCCCGGCCACTCACTGGCCTCTAAACACAAAACGGCAACCGCAGCCCCGCCTGACCCTCAGCCTCAACATTCTCGCTCCTTAAGAGGAAGTTCTGAACCGCAGGTCCGGGGCGGGGGTCCCTGCAACCACATTGACCCTATCGAGGCCTCGCCCTGGACACAGGGTGCAGGGACCCGGGTGCCTGAGGTCAGCCCCCACCACCGGGCCACCCACCTGACCACTGAGGCGGGGGCACGCCCCCGAAGCCGGGGGGGCGGCGGCGCGAGGGCTGCGGCTCCGCGCGCTGGAGGCTGGCCCTCTGGCGCCGCCGGTAAT